GGTCCCCCTCCTACTTCCTCCCTTCCTCCTCCTCCCTCCTCCGCCCCCCCCCCCCCTTCGTACCTGCACGAACTCCCCCGCCTCCTTGGTCTTATCCCACAAGAGCCTCATGCACTCAGCATTCACTCGCTCCTGTAGGAAGGAAACGTCAGAGATAAACTCGCTCCTTCCCTCTCCCAGCTCTCGCTTGTTCCTTCTCCTCGTTTTCCTGCTTCTGCTGCTGCAACATGCTGCTGCTGCACATGCTCCTCCTCCTCCACCACTTCCTCGTTCTCCTCTTCTACTTCCCCTTCCTCCCCTCTTCTCCCCCCACACTTCATCGGTTTACCTTGAGCTCCTCGAACCTCCCGATCTCATTGCACGAGTTCGTCACGTCCTCCAACACCTGGTACATCATCAGCAGAGCAGCTTGGGGAGGGGAACGAGGGGAGGAGGGACAACGTTCAGGGCATGAGGAGGGAAGGGAAGACCAAGAAAGATAAGAGGAAGCAGCAGTGAGAGGAATGGAGGATTCGGAAGAGCGAGGAGAAAGCTTAGGCAAGGAAGTAGGGTGGAGGAGGAAGAAGATTTGGAGGAAGGAGGGAGGGAGAGAGGAAAAGCAGGGCAGGAAAGGGAGGATCTAGAAAGAAGGAGGAGGAGGAGAGAGGCGAGGGGCTACGAGGAGGGAAGGATGAAATTCTCACCTGCTTCAGTTCGTCTCTCACCATCCTGACACACAAAGTCGCTGGCTCCTCCATCTTCTGAATCAATTTCTTCACCAGCACCTCGAACGCTGCAACAAGCCAAAATTCGGTCATCCTTGTCCTCGTCCCCTTCCCCTTCCCGTTCCCCTTCCTCCTCCTCTCCCTCCTTGCGTCCTCGTCTCTGTCCTCCCCTGCTCTGCTCTTCGCACCTGAGTTGGGAACGAACAGGTCAGCTCGCACTCCGACGGCATTCCGCCGGGCTGTGTGAATGTCTTCATCCGAGAGCTCCTGCAGGAGAGCAGGTCTTAGACTCTGAGAGACTCGAAGAGAGGAGGAGACAGGAGGAGAACGGAGGGGGTCGGGGTAGTGGGAGGGAGGGAGGAAAGGTAAAAGGAGCTGGGCAATAGAAGAGCAGGGCAAGTGGGAGGGGGAGGGATGGAGGGGAAGGGAAGGGAAGGGAGGGAGGAATGGATCAAGGGACGAAGGGGAGGGAGGGAGGGAGGGAGACGGGGACGGAGGGAGAGGGGGAGGGGGAGTTTCAATGTGACATCTTGCTTGTCTCTGGTTCACCTCTGAGTCCATTTCTTCGATGTCCTTTCGAAATTCCTGCAAACCAGTCACAGCGATCCTGTAAAACATCCGGAGATTCTTGGTGCCCCTCCTCGTCCTCGTCCTCGTCCTCGTCCTCCTCGTCCTCGTCCTCGTCCTCGTCCTCGTCCTCGTCCTCGCCCTCGCCCTCGCCCTCGCCCTCGCCCTCGCCCTCGCCCTCGCCCTCGCCCTCGCCCTCGCCCTCGTCCTATCAGTTTCGCCCATCCCCTCCCCTCTTTGCCCCTCCCCATCGACTGCAGACCTTCAGGAAGATCTCACGGACTCGGGCGGGTCCGTAAAGCGCGACAGTGCTGTGAGGTGTTGATAAGAAGAAGGGATGAGGATCAACCAGGGTTTGCGATCATTATCATGTACATCATCGTCATCATTCTCATCCTCATCCTCATCCTCATCCTTGTCATCATCATGTACACCATGTACATCATCACCACCTTCTTTACTCACCTGTTCTTTGCGTTCCCTTGCATAATCTCCCGGTACTGTTCACAGAATCTATGGATGGCACTGACCTGTTGGGACGTCATTCCACTAATTCTCTTTCTCTGTTGCCCTCTTACAACAATCGCCCGCTGCTCCCTTTGTGTTTGTCCGCACTCGCCGCCATATCTCTCCTGCACCTCGTAGGCTTCTCGTAGCAGATACTTCACCTGTACATCATTCAGCTCCAATCTCCTCCTCTCCTCTCAATCCCCTCCTCTGCTATCGTCGTCCTTCTCTCCTCTCCTCTCCTGTCGTCGTCCTTTCTACTCTGCTCGCCTATTGTTATCCTTCTGCTCTGCTCTGCTCTGCTGTCCTCTTCTCTCTTGTCCTCCTCTTCGTTCCCGTCCTTCCCCCTGTACTTCCTCTTTCCCCTCCTGTTTCTCCCACGTTCTATTCTTTACCCCCTTCCCTGTCCCCTTCCTCCCTCTTTCACTGCAGCCTATCAGCATTGAAACACTCACGGACCTTCTTTGAGATCTCCGGCATGTGCAACCTGATGTGGTTCTCAAGGATGTTGTTGAGCCTTCTTGACAAGTAGGGAATTCCCTGTTGTGCACGATCAAACTATGTTTCCTCACCCCCCAGTCCCCTCCCTGTCTCCTCCTCCTCCTCCTCCTCCTCCTCCTCCTCCACCACCATCACCACCATCACCACCATCACCACCACTACTTTGTCCTCATTCTGCTCTTTGTTCTCCTCCTCTTCCTCTTTCATCATCTCACTTGTTCACTGGATATCGCGGCATATGCATGATGCTTCTGGAAGAAGAGAGATTCCGCTTTCAGCGCCTGCAAGAGTGTGTAAATATTCTTTCCTCCGTCCCCTCCTCCTCTCCTCCTCCTCCTCCTCCTCTTCCCCTCACATCTCTCATAGGCTTCGATGTGTCGATATCCCTCTGGCTTCGGTTCACCACCCCTATGTACCCGTGCTTGAGGGGGTACACCTTCCCCTCCAGCACGTCCCGCGCGTCCGTCCCTTGATCCATGAGGTCCAACTTGGTCAGCACGCCCACCGTCCTGCTCCCGTCGGGGTCCACCATCCTCGCCATCTGCAGCCCGTCGGAGTTGGCGATGTCCTGGTTGGCGGCAGAGACGGCGAGGATAATGCAGTTGGGCTTCTCTATGAACTCTCGCACCATCGTGCTGATCATCTCGGAGATGTTGTGAGGCTGGTCCCCAACGGGAACCTTGGTCAGGCCGGGGAGGTCGACGAGCGTCAGGTTGAGGACGCTCTTGCTATGCACGCGGAGGATGATGGGTTCCTTGGAGACTGACTTGTTCGTACCAGCTATCTTGTCCGTCTCCACCTCGATCGTCCTCCTCACCTCGTCGAAGCTCGTGAACTTTTTGTTGATGTGCGCGAACTCTGCGTAGTCCTGCGAGATATCTTCTTGCAACAGCTGTAGCAGCAGCCGTCAGGGCGGAAGGGGAAGCGGGGGAGCAGCAGCGAAAGACGAGGATGAGCAGGGAGCGAGGGACAGGGAGGAGGGAGGAAGGAGGAGCAAGTGAAAGGCACCTGCAGTATCAGAGGCCTTCTGGTACAGATGCCGCTTCCTCTCGGAAGGAAGTCATACCCCACCAAGCTCTCCAGCACACTACTCTTCCCGCTGCTCTGACTGCCGACCACAGCGATCTGCATGTTGCCTTAGAGGATCGTCATCAACATCCGAAGGGAACCTGAGGGAGGTCTACAGGAGGGATGTCCAGTGGTGCGAACGCCTCCTGTAGTTTGTTCATGACGGGGATCAACTCGTTGAGCGGCATCTGGAAGGCATGTAAGCGATGGGAGGAGAGCATGGCTGCAGGAGCTCTTTTTGTCGTTGCAACCCATTCATGGAGCTCGTTTGATGCAAGGACAAGGAAGAATACTAGAATTTCAAAATGGCTCTAGAGACAGGGGCAAGAGATAACGATAATCGATCAATAGACTGGGGTAGGGAATAGGGACTGGAGACACTAGCAGATTATCTAGGTACTTCAGCTAAAGCATGCATGATCCAACAGCTTATCAAGACTGAGACCGCACTAGCTGGTGCCGTACAAATGCTCGTCTTCGCAACCACAGTGAACGATCTCATGGATAATCCATTGCTGCTCCTGCTCCTGCTCCTGCTCCTGCTCCTGCCCCTGCCCCTGCCCCTGCCCCTGCCCCTGCTCCTGCCCCTGCCCCTGCCCCTGCCCCTGCCCCTGCTCCTGCTCCTGCTCCTGCTCCTGCTCCTGCTCCTTCTCCTCTTCACTCCATGCCTTCCGCTCTCTCCTTCGTCCGCATCACTTCGTATCCTCATCAGCGCATCAGCCGGCGGGAAACCGTGAATGAGTGGGGGTAGGGGATACACAGGGTGGTATCGATCCTCCCTTGTTTGAGTGAAAAGAAGGGGTCCTGGGAAGAAAGATAATTGATAGCAGGGGTAGTAGAACTTTTTTGCAACCAAGGGATGTTCAATAGTGGGGTAAGACGCTGGAAATTATGGGGTAGTACATAAATAAAGACCTATGAGGGGAAGGGGCTGGGTAGTGATAGAAACTGTAGGGTATTCGATTCGGAGGGTGGGTAGGGGGTGGGTATTTCAAACATTCAGATTTTTCAATGAATTTTGAGCTCATAGAAGTCTCAACTTGACGGACGGCCGCGGGCGGCGCCGGCCGGCCGAGTCGGAGCCGCCGCCGCCTCCGGCCCGGGCCGGGCCCTGCGCCCCGGGCCCGGCACTGCAAGCGGGGCGTGGTACGGGGGCCGGGTGACCGTCTACCGTAGTACCCCGGTACCGTACGCCGGGTAGGCTACATTGTTACCACGGTACTGTGCAACGGTTTGCTCAAAGCCTTAAGTTGAGTTGAACTTCATCCCGGAGTAAGGGCCATCATCAATCTTGAATCCGAAACTTCTTTCGTCAGGCCCTGAGAGGACGGTCCGGCGCCGCCGAGCCTCGGCGGGTGACTAGGAAGCTTGACGGGCTTGATTCGGTGACCGTGACTGCCAGGCTTTCGCCAAGATCGGACAGCCTCTGAGAGAGAACTTCGGAAAGGCTGGCAACCCAGGGCCGGCTCGGCCGCCTCCCGGAGTCCGATCCTGCCACTCAGTGCAGTGACTGACAGGCTGACTGGCAACCGTGACTCTGCTGGCCAGTGACGCTGATTCAGCGACCGACTGACCTGAACCCACTGTGATCAGGCTTCAGACCATACTAGTCACCGATTGAGAGGCGCATGGGCCCCTCGGACGGACGCCCGCAGCACGAGTCACAGCGCTACCAGGATAACCATGGCGTCAGCCCGGGTGTTGAGCCCAGGATCAGCAACAAAATCTACAGGGCCCGAAAGGTGTCCGATCAGCGATCACAGTGAAGGCTGCGGCTGCCGCAGTGCGCGGTCACCGGAGCAGACTCAGATGAGGCTGGGAGACTGACTCGGACTCTATCGGTCAATCGTCCGTCTTCCTCGCGAACAAGTCCTCTGCCTGGTAGGAGAGCAAGGCAGTGAGATGAAGAGACTAGCCCAGCTACAGCACATCAAATTCACCGGAAGGAGGGCAGGGACCTTGTAGACCCACCCGTTGCTCGCCCGGCGAGCCGCCAGCACTCGGTCCGTGCCGTCCGTGTACTTGCTGAAGAGCGTTGACAACTGCAGGGTACAATGTCAGTGAAGAAGTCAACTCTTCTCTGCACATCACAGGATATCCTATCCCCGTCACGGTCGTCACGGCTGAGTCCCTTCCGAGTTTCTCCAGCGATGCTGGGTCCAGCACTTGGGACAGGGCGACCTGGTGAGTCGAGCAAGTATCAAACGAGTGCTACGATATCAGCGATGGGGTACATGGGAAAGAAGATACTTCCTCCACTCCTGCTCATTCAGCGACATGAGAAGCCTCTGCCCGACGTTGCTCTGTGGTATGTGAGCTTGGGCAAGCATGTTGCACAATGTGACCTGCAGCGCCGAGTTGACAGGAGCGAACACCACCAAGCTTCGAGTTGCGTGATGTTTGCTCAGACTCGGCTTGTCCCAGGCGCCCTGCTTGAGCTCCTGCAAGAAGCTTTCTCATCCAGGTCAAGGGACCGCCATGGTCTACCTCGTAGTAGGAGAAGAAGAGAGTTGTATCTGGATCGCGCTGTAGTATGTCCCGCACTGTTTCCTTGGCGCCCTGCCGTCTTCTAGTCACGATATGTTTAACATTCTGAGCAGTGCGCGAGACCTTGCTCATGCATGCGCAGAGAAGAACGCAGAGGATGCTCACGGCCACAAGGACAGGAATCGCGTTCCATCCTGTGTGCTGGTAAGTCGAGGTTGCATGGGAGGGAGCATGGCAGATGTCTGCACACCTAGAAATATCGCCAGCATCTCTTGCCCTGCCATGGCGCTCAGCATTCTCGGCTCTTCTCTCTCAGCATTCCCTCCGCTCCTTCACCAGTCACCATTTTCATGCATCACAAGGACCACCCCCACCTTCATGTTTCTTCAGATTTGATGGGGTATGATTATCTGAGGCGGGTCTTCTCTATCCGAGGCGGGGCTTCTCTAAGCTAGTCCTCGGGAGCGACGGTCGGCCCGCCGGTGGCCCGCCGGGGGCCCGCCGGGCCCGTCAGCCAGTCACTGTGCTACTGAACGCCGAGTCCGGTAGGAGAGTGATAGGAAGGAATCTCCCCGAATCCGGAGGATTAGCTGATGTATGGCCCGCGCGTCCCCACCGACTCGGCGGCCAGGGCCCCCGCAAGCCCCGCGCGCCCTTTGACTGGGCTGAGGGATCGGCTGCCCTAGGAAATTGAACGCATTGAAGAATATTCTATACAAGTGTGAATCAAGACAATCGTGACGGTCGCTAGCTGTCGAGCTTGTGATACACTAAGAGGTAGGCAGTCTGAGAGCAGCCCAGCACGTTCTCGAACGCTGCAACAGCAGGCTGCAAGGAAGGAAAGGACTTCAGAAGAAGCAGGGGGAGGGAGCTGGCGGGGGGGGCAAGGGGGAGGAAGGTCAGAGACTTACGATCCTTCCTGACGTCACGTCCCGTTGCCCAACAGGAGTGCAGATATGGTCGTTACACTCCCACCAGGCGCCACCTGGTTTACTGTCAGGTTAACGATGACGAAGAGGGGGAATTGGAGAAGGTGGACACGAGAGCAGGAGCAGAGCAGGAGCAGGAGCAGACATGCGGCAAACATGGCAAGGTCCATTGCAGCAGCACACGGATCGATAAGCAGTAGCAGCACCGCGAATTGAAGGAGCGAGGCAGAAGCAGCAGAACGGAAACAGAGAAGAAGAAGGAGCAGGAGAAGGGAAACTGAGCCGATGGACGAGGAGGAGGAGGAGGAGGAGGAGGAGGAGGAGGAGGAGGAGGAGGAGGAGGAGGAGGAGGAGGAGACTGAGTTGATCAAGGAGGGTGAGGTGGGGAAGAAGAGGAGGCGGAGGCGGATTTGCTGACCTTGGTCTTTCACCGCACAGACGTAATGACCAGCCTGACTAACATCAGCTAGCACAAGCTGACAGAAAAAAACCTCTAAGGAGCCTCCGAGGTGATAGCAGATGCCTGCAAGGCAGGTAAGACGCGAGAACAGAAGCGAAGAGGAGGGGGAGACGACCGGTGAGCTCGAAGGTTTGAGACTGAGCTTCCTCTGGGTGGTCAAGGAGGAGGTCTTGTAAGAGGGAAGTGGGAGGGTAAGAGAAAGCGATCGGAGGAACAAGAAAGTTTTACCATCACACTCGTCGATGTGATAGTCCTTTGTCTGCGAGGAATGAAAGAGAGTGAGTGGGAGAGAGAGAAGGCGAGAGAGAGAGGGGGAGGGAGAGGGAGAGACAGAGAGGGAGGGACGAGAAGGGACCAGCGGAGGTGACATGTGGAAAAGGGGAGAGAGGAGAGGGAGAGGGAGGGGGAAAGGGAGAGGGAGAGGGAGAGGGAGAGGGAGGGAGAGAGGGAGAGGGAGAGGGAGATGGCACAACATGGAGTTGAGAGCAAGGAGAGAAGGGTCGAGGAGCAACAACAAACAGCACAAGTTCTTGATACCCATGATTGGCTCTCGTTGTCGAGCCAGAAACGCAGGAAGGGGCTGATCTTGAGTGCCGTATCAAGCTTCCTGGCATAAGTGGAGTGGCCTGAGGAAACAGTGAGCAAGGAGAGGAGGGAGAAGCGATCTTGGACGGGGGAAAGGGCGGACAAAGAGATGGATGGGGGAGGAGGGGGGAGTGGGAGGAGGAGGAGGAGGAGGAGGCGATGGAGGAGGAGGCGATGGTGGTGGTGTGTCGAAACGAAGAGGAGGAGGACAAGCAAGAGGTGGACATGGAGGGGAAAGAACTTAGGAGAATGAAGAGAGAGGGGGCTGGCAGGAGGAATGGAATGACAGCAAGGGGGTCCAGGAGAGAAGGAGAGAAGGGAAGGAGAGAGCGGATTAGAGCAGAGGAGAGGAAAAACCCTTGTCAAATCGAAATCTCCGCACGCAAACGATGAGGCTGCGGGGAAAGTCAGGGAGGAGTAGAAGGGAGTTGAAAGAGGATCGTTGACCTCCTTGGGAGTTTCCACATCTTCGTGGTCCGTTTGATGTTGTCGGTCCCTCCGGAATGTCCTCGTGGAAATATCTTGACGCGGGCATTAGCAAGGAGGCATGTGGAGGAGGAGGCGGAAGAGGAGGAGGAAGCGGAAGAGGCGGAAGAGGAGGAGGGCGATGTGAAAAAGGGCATGCAGAACGGAAAAGCACCACCAGGAGCGGGAGCAGGAGCGGTAGCAGCAGAAAAAGGAAGGGGAGCTACAGAGAGAGAGGGAAACGAGGAACGGAAGGAACGGTAGAGTGTGCAGGAGTAAGATAAGCACCTGTTCAGCAGCTGGCCGATGCTCTCGCCGCTAGCCTCGAGGGAAGCAACAAGGACATTGAAAGGTTCAAATTCGCAGCTGGATCAGAGTTTGAGCCTAACCGCCGACCTCCTCTGTACCCCCCGGCCCACCTCCTCCTCAGACTTATCTTCCATTTCCTTCTCGTCCCTCCCTCGCTCTAATTTGTCTATCAGCCTCTTCACTCTCGTGTCGAATCCTAGTCTGACTTTGCATGCTTGCTTCTTTCTTGTTTTTGCCTCCCATTCACCCTTTCCTCTTCTCCCTCCTCTCCTGCTCTCCTCCTCTTTCTCACCCTTTCATCGTCTGCTTGCTGAGATCCCATGTATGTGTGAGTATCTGACCAACGAAGGATGGGGATGAAGAGGAGAGTCTGTCGACCAGTTAGAAGCAGTGTCCAGCAGCAGAAGCGGCAGCAGCGGCAGCGGCAGCAGCAGCAGCAGCAGCAGCAGCAGCAGCAGCAGCAGCAGCAGCAGCAGCAGCAGCAGCAGCAGCAGCAGCACGACATGGAAAGGACGATGATGGACAAGGAAGCAAGGAGGTACGCAACGCTCAGGGTTTTCACCTACTCCTCCTCGTCCTGGAATTTTCCACGCACATCCCAAGGACGTCGAAATCCCATTTGACCTCCCCAAGGATCTAACGGCGGAAAGAGGTCAGGACGAGCGAGGTAGGAGGAGAGAAGGGGGACGAGAGGGATAAAGTAGAGTAGGAGGGTAAGAAATTAAAAGCAAAAGGCAGCAGCAGCGGGTCTGAGCGAGGACAAGTGGAGAGGGGGGAGGGGGGGGAGGAGGAGGAGGTGAGGGAGAACGAGGAGAAAGAAGGGAAAGAAGAGGAGCTGATGCTGCTGATGCTGCGTTCAACCTTCATCATGGACAGGAATTCTGTCTGATCCTGTCGGGACGAGATGCCCTCAAGTCTCTGCAGCGAGAGGGAGAGGAGGGTCAGCAAGCGGAGAGGAGCAGCAGGAGCAGCGGACGTGCAGGTATTGCTCGCAGAAGTGACCCATCTTGGTATGCTCTTCCTTGGGGATCTGCGACCGCAAGTCCTCCCGAACGATCTGAAGGATGGGAAGGTGAGGGAAAGTAATAGACGGTAAGGAGGAGGTAAGAGAGGGGGTTTGGGGAGGGAGAGAGGAGAGGAAACGAGGAAGAAGGCAGCGAAAAGCGAGCAGCAAGCAGGAGGAGTGGTTTTAAGGTATGCGCAGAGGGCAGAGGCGAACCTGGAGAATCGACTCGAGGAACTCGTGTACGTCACACTGCCCCTGATGCAGCAAAGCAGATCAGGAGGAACGGAGGAGGGGGAGACAGAAGCGAGGATGGTGGTATTTGAGAAGGATTTGGAAGTGGTGGAGGAGGTAGAGTAGTGATAGTGGTGTTAGCAATTAGAGAGGACGAGGAGGAGAAATAGTAGGAGGATGACAAAGTGGTAGACGAACTGATGTTCGTCGTTGAGATGAACAAGTAGTGTTGGCAGTGGTGAATGAGGAAGGACCAAGGAAGCACCTGGCGCTGTTGAGAAGGGACTATGAGAGGGACCCATCTATGAATGCAGTCGCTGCAGGAGAAGTTCAGGACGCACCAGCGAAGCAAAGAGAAAAGGAGAGCGAGAGAGCAGGGGACAACGAGGCAGGAAGGGAGGACGAGGAGGAAAAGGAGACAGAGGGTGAATAGCAGGTGCAGCAGGGAGCGTGGTATGAAGAGGGACCGGAAGCTGTTGGAAGTCTGTTTGTCGATCGGTTTCCCAGCGCTGAGAGTGAAGTCATTTTCTCTTCACCTTTCTCTCCATAATCCTTTCTCCTGCTGAATCCTCCCCATCCTCCCCATTGTCTTCTTCCTCTGCCCCCTGTATCCTTTTCCTGTCTCCTCATGGCTTGTTCCCCCCTCGACCCCCCTCTGACCCCTCTGGATTTTTGCTGCGATCGCACTACCTCTTATCGCCCTTTCTTTGCTCCAGCTTTAATTTCACCTCCTGCTCCTCTTTCACTGCTTTCTGCTCCTGCTCCTGCCCCTGCGCCTGATCCTGCTCCTGCTCCTGCTCCTGCTCCTGCTCCTGCTCCTGCTCCTGCCCCCGCCCCCGCCCCTGCTCCTGATCCTGCTCCTGCTCCTGCCCCTGCCCCCGCCCCCGCCCCTGCCCCTGCCCCCGCCCCTGCCCCTGCCCCTGCCCCTGCCCCTCCATCACCTTGCTCGCTCTCTGCATGTCACCCGAAGGTTTCTCAGCGCGCTGGCGACCGCGCAGGAGCACCTTGAATGTGATCGCACGTCACGCAAGGTCACAGGCATGACCAGCTACATCTGGAGGTCTCGGTCGAAGTCCTGCACGAGACCAGGTCATCTCCTGCTGAAGAAAACCTGGGGAGGGGCAGGGAAAGAGGAACGGGGAGGAAGAAGGGGAGGGGAGCTGAGAGGGTACTTGGAGAAGAGCTGGAAGGGGAATAAAATGACGAGGGGAGGGGCTGATACGAGTACAGCGGAGCAGGCTGCTGGGAAGGAGGGCAGGGGAGGCGAGAGAGTGGGAGAGGGGTGGGAAGGAGCAGGCAGGAAAGGGGCGCAAGGGCAGAGGAAGGAAGCTGGACCGGTAGGGAAGCTGGGAGGTGAGGGGGTGGGAGCCACCTTGATGGCGAAGAAGAGCAGCTGGATGGCCGAGTTCATGAAGCAGAGATTCTCGTGTCCTCGAACTCCTGGAAGAAAACGATCAGTGCGAGGAAGGAGCTGACTTGGTTGCGCTGACCGTTGTAGAGGCCGCAGGGACCGGCGTGCCCTCCCTCAGCCCGTTTCTTACTGTGTAGATTGAAGGTGTGTAAGTGTGAGGAGGACGAACAAGAAGAGAAGGAAACAGGACAAGGAGGAGGAGGAGGAGGAGCTGGAGCTGGAGCAGGAGCAGGATGGCGAATGATCCAGAGCACGCCGAGAGGAGCACGAGCACGAAATTCGGATTACCCGTTCCTGGTCACCGTCATGAATTGAGGTTGCTGCCAGAGCAAGTCAGGTGTACACGAGGGGGGGCAGTGCGCGCGTTCACATTGATCTCCTCCTCCTCCTCAGCGCTGCGGGACGTACTTGCCACCTTTCCACAAGGCAACTCCTTCAGTCCTGCTCCCTCCCCCTCCCCCCTCCTCCCTCCCCCCTCCCCCCTCCCCGGCCATTTTGCGCCACCTCTTGTCTCCGACGTCTGACTTCTTGCCTCGTCTGCTGTGGCCCTGCCGTTGCCGCATTCCTCCTCGTCTTCGCGTGACGGGGCAGGCAGTCAGCAAGGGCAGCCCAGCAACCTCTGCATCACCTGCTCCTGCTCCGAGAGCGGTCTTCCCCCCCTCTCCTTCCTGTTGCCCTGTTTCTTCTTCGTCTTCTTCCTTGCCCCGGCCACGCTCGAGCCTTTGCGCCTTGACAAGATGGAAGAGGGAGAGAAGTTGAACTTCATGTGGGAAGATCTGCACAGACAGGCAATGGCCAGCAGCGCACTGCAGAGCAACGCAGTCGAAAGGACGAAGACGATGGGTCTCCAGCTGTAGACGGCTGTTAACCCGCCCAGGACCCCCACCACCTCGGCTTCATTCAGACCAAGAGTCAGCATCTCCCAAACAGACGGGAGGCGCAAACTTCACCTTCCCTCCGTCCATAGCCCTTGCTGGGGTAGGGAAGGATTCGAATCCCGTCGGTCAGTCATCACCAAGACCGAAGGCAACTGGTCACCTCGTACTCTTGCTGCTGTCGACCGCAGGTGTCGTCAATCTCCACTTTGACTCACCCGTCTCTTTCTCTTGGATCGCAGGCCCTCTCCGTTCTCCTCCAGCCCGGGAGGTCTTGTCGGTGATATGATAAAGCAGCTGGCACTTCCTCTTCCTAAGGACCCCAATGCTCATCACTTGATCCTGCCAAAGCAATCACTTCGAGCCTCCCAGCGCTCGAGCCTCCCAGCCTCTCTCCTTCACCTCCGTCATCTCCAGTCTCTGCTGTTGAATCCATCTCGACACCTTGAGAGGACGAGACAGGCCGTCAGGAGGAACGAAGGCAGCACGTCAGGCAGAGCCAACACCCCGTTCCCAACCTCTCACCTTGCGAGTGCTCGCCGCCTTGCAGTCTATTATCAAGTTCGAGACCGTAAGTCCCTCCTGCTGAGGAATCGTGCACAGCCAGTGCAGGCAACGAGGGTCCCCGCACCCGGAGATCGTGACGGGGCTTTGAACCAGGCGCACGTGCGAGTGATAGGGCAGACTGTTGATTGGTTACACGTGGAACAATCACATCAAGAATCACTTCTCAATCCACACGTGCAGCTCCGATGGGGCCAAGAACGCCTTGTTGTGACAGAAGACAGTCTGTGGCTGTTGGCAAGTGAGGCACCGAGTGGTCTGGCAAGCAGCACTGCGCCTACCAGGTAGATGCTCGAGTTGTTGCACGGGTCACCCTGGCATCGTAGAACAGACCAGGAGCCTCCTGTTTGCTGATTTCGTCTGAAGGGCATACAAAAGACGCATACATACAGTCAGAAAGATCGATCGTGGTGGTGGTGAGGAGGAGGAGGAGCTGCCGATTACCCGAAGACGATATAGCTCTGAGAAGTAAGGTTCAGCAGCTGCAGGTCCGGTCTATCCTCGGGTGGTATGCGATCCACTGTGGCAGAACATCGTCTCACGGGATTGATGCTCCGGTGCTCAGAGAACTTCACCTCTCGATGCCGCTCCGAAGCTGATGGAGGTAGCTTGTGACGGCAGGGTAGCTGTAAGGGTACGGAGTGAATGAAAACGCTGGGTTGTCAACGACTTACATAGCAGGCAGAACAGACAGCAGAAAAGCAGCATCTCCTCTCCTCCTCGACTTGTCATAGGACACAGTTTGAAGTGCACAACTCGTAAGTCACATGCTGCGGATGTCGTGCTCCTACTCAATCGATCCTTCGAGCGCTTCCATGCTCACTCCAGCCATCAGACCAAGGAGCTACTGAGACCCATTGGCGACCGCATGCAGATAGCTCTTGGTGGCATGCGACTTCGGCAGCCAGGCTTGGGCCTTCCTCCCCTCCTCTCACTCCCCTCCTCTCACTCCCCTCCTCTCACTCCTCTCCTCTCACTCCTCCGAGCCGCATCTCTCGCCATGAATGGATGTGACACTGGGAACCATCCCAGCAGGGCGGTCATAAACCGCCCGGGCCCGGCGGGCAGGCCCGGGACTACTGAGGGACCGGGCCCCGGGCCCCGTTGGCCCCGGGCCGGCGGGAACTCAACCGCCGGGCGTCTTCAACTGAGTTGTGGACTCTGAGATTTTTTCATAGGGGTCTGGGGCATTACCGGTCGTACGACCCACTTACCTTTGTGATAGTGAACTCTTAGGATGTCCATGGAGACCCAGTCAAACGAGCCTTGCGGTCTGATCTTATTGCTTCAATTAGTTCTTCTGCCACATCTGGCCTCTTCCATTCAGACCCCCCCGGGCCCGGCATTTTACAAGGACCCACCCCCTTGTAATCTATCTGCATTTATTACCCTACCCTACCCGAGTAGAGGTACTACTCGCAACGGATCATCGTCAACTCTCGTCAAAAAGTACTCCGAGGGGTGGGGTAGATCTACTACCCGTGGTTTTAGGATGTGTTTGGATGTTGTAGGACCCAGTACGTTTTCCTTTCGACCCGACCCCAGCGGCGGCTAAATAGAAGCGTTCGCTCATGGCCGCTAATAAGCCTGGCATGTGACAGTGAGAGGTAGGAAGTGAGGAAAGATCATGGACAGACTGAGAGACTCAGTGTTGAGAAGTCTTGATGAGAAGATGCGTGATGAGACGAAATCATGGACGAGAAAGAGAGGACCTGAGTTGAGTTCAACAGCTAATCCACTCACATTCATTTACGCCCTCCTCGTTGTAACTTCTGTTGGCTACCAGGGCTCTGATCTGAAGCTTTACTCCAGGGGCACGATGATATCGGGCAACCCCAGGAGCTTGGAGCGCAAGTTGTCCTCGGAATCTGTCAAGGACAACGTGTTGCTTGTCGACGGTTCAGACACCAACACGAAACGCTTCAAGCTGATGAAGGTCCCGTCCTATGTGAAAGAATACCGAAGATTTCAACGAAGTGAGCTGGAGGTTGGCAACATGCTCAAGAAGGGGGCTTGCTGCTCCTTCTGGTATGCTGTGGTGGTCCAGAACATGAAGCCAGTCATGGTGAAGGCACTCTACCCGGATCCCGATTTAGACCCCGATGACTTCAAGGTCAAGAAAAGCTGCGAGAAGGTGGATGTGATCAAGAAGGAGGAGGAGATTCTGAGCATGCTGCCTCCTCACCCCAACGTCAACGGCTTCTACGGCATGACAGAGGACATGCGAGTCCTCGTGTTGGAGGAAGTTCGAACGGATCTCGCCACTGTCCTCCACCTCACAGAGCATCTGATTCCCATTACCATCCTCAAGTGGACTCGAGACATCCTGCTGGGCCTTGCTCACATCCACGGCACCCAGGTGATGCGACGGAGCAGCTGGGGAGGTTCTAACACGAGCGGGCAGGTTGTACACCAGGACATCAGTCCGAACAACATCTGTATAACCAGCCAGTACCGGGCCCAGATCTCAGAGTTTTCGAAATCTTGTAGGCTGGAACGTCAAGAGCAGCTCCAGAACAAGCAAAGAATTGGAACGCTGTGAGTGTAGTGTATCCCATGATTGTGCGGATGACGATAGGAGCAGTTCGTACAGAGCGCCTGAGTTGATTATGGGCGCCAAAACATACAACAACAAGGTACACAGCCCCTGTGAAGTGAGCAAGTGCCCTCTGACATGCAGGCAAAGATCGACTGTTGGTCTGTTGGGATTGTAATCCTGGAGATGCTGCTCGGTGACTGCCCAGTGTCCGGACTCGTCACCGACGTATGCACATGTCACAATCCGTTCCATTCAAACTTCAACTTTGATCAGCTCAAGATGATCTTCAAGGTCCTTTTCATGATCCACTTGCCTGCTCTGACTCCAGTTCCTGGTCAGCTGGTTGGTACTCCCACTGACGAGACTTTCCTGACCAAGCTGGACTGCTTTGCTCATTTCTCATCGTGGAAGGTGTACCGACGTGGATTGAAGCAGAAGGTGCTTGACGCTCCACATGAGGTCAGCTAACAACAGCTCTGACGCGGCCAAGGTATGGGAAGCTTGCATCCTTGATCACAAGCCGCAGCATGGCTTCTTTTCGAGGAAGACCGCAAAGGAATCGATTGAGAAGTCGTCCGGAGATGACCCAATCACCCTGGAAGAATTGAAAGCCTACTCGGTGATTTGAAAATCTCAGCTCTGCACACTGCAACTCTATCGCGCCATGCTTGACGAGAACCACAGGGATGGTACGAAGTGCTGGAGGGTTTACTGAAATTGGATCCCAATCGGAGAATTACAGCCAAACAGGTGGGATGAGAGAGGCGGAGGGAGATAGCTAGTGAATACTTCATGGGAGAATCCGACAGCATGAAAGTGATGAAAGGACAAGATTGGAAAGGGAAAGGATGGACCATCAAAAGTGAAGAGGTTATAGCGAGCAGCAGCGACTGAGATAGCCCGCAGGCCTTGGGGTCGTTGCGTTACTTCGACTCCTTTGAAGAAAGCTTGTGGAATGATCCCCATGCAGCCGCACCCGGTCGAGTCCGACCGTTGACCGCGCTGAGGGGGAGGAGGAGGACGGGCTCGAAGAAGCAGGATAGCTCGGGGCATAAGGTCTCAGCGGGGAGCAGCTTTAGGCGATCCATCAACGTTCAAAACGTGGCCTCCACCATGTTCCTGGTGAAGGAGTTTGGGCGCAACTTGTACCAGGCATCAAAAGATCGGACGAAAGACAAAGGGTCGGTTGGACCATCGTGAACAGACAGAGGTCAGAAGTATCCCATGGATCGGGTGTGTATATTATGTACATTACAATCGTCCCATCTTGGAGCTCTCAAACTCATGGCTGATGTGCATATGCCACTGACATGTCCTTGGAGAGAACCGCTCGGAGCTCTCATTCGCCATGATATTTGCATCGCACTTCCTCGTGCGAGATTGCTTGCTCTGCTACCTTTGGTGGTACGGATAGATCACGGACTCGTCATCTGTCGCGCTCATGTACCATCTGAGCCATCTCGAGTCGATGCAAGTCCTTGCACACGGACCAGGACTATCCTCGACACCTGCTTCCCCCTGGCTCTCGCCGATGCTACTTGCTGTTTCCGAGCCGCCTTCTCGTGTAACATCCTGGTTATACCGTGCCGAGCTGGGGCCTCCCTTCTTGTACGGCCATCGCATGACTCCCAGCTTCCGGCATGCAGACTTGAGGCTGGTCAGACAGACCCCGAGTCTTTCCGCCGCTTCTTCTTGCCTCATGCAGTAGAGGGGCTCGAGCACCTGTAGGTCGATGCTGACCTCTATCGGCGGGCCGTCGATGCCATCAGGTCTTGATCTCGGGGCGACTATGACGCGCTCGGAGAAGCTTGGTGCTGAGGCGTTGCTGTTGTCGCTCTCCGACATGGCTTGGTTCGGTCGTGGTGCCGCTACGAATGGAGGCTGATAAAAGGGGCAGGGGGCTTCCCGTATCCTCCGGAAAGAGAGTGTTTTCGGCTTTAAACCAGGTATCTGCTGATAGGCTTTAATGCGAAAACCTTGCTTTTAAGGGTTTCGAATGCATCAGACGATTCCACACCCCCATCTCGTCAACCGACACAACGGTCAAGAAGCAACCTTTGGCTTGAACCCCCTTTAGGCCATGTACGCCGAAGGCTCGCGATCGTCAGTGAAAACCAAGGTGCAGACCCCAACCGCTCGCGCATGCCACAGCAACTCATCCTCCTGCCAAGCACAGTATGGAGCCGTCTCCTCGATGCTACATGACCTCCCGCACGGCGTTGTATGGACGACGACATGCTCCCAACGCAACGATATCACAACAAATCCGAATGGGCCATCCAAGTGTTTCTTCATTCCATAACTCATATACATGTACCGGTTTATACTATCACATCGCCCCTACCGTGAGCATGACGTCATGCTCGGGCTCCCTCACACTCCCACTGCCTCTACTGACTCGGCTGTCCCGCAAAAACACTGGAGCCACTCCTCCCATCCGACCTCCTCGTCCTCCGACAAGGATATTCCGAGCTCTCGCACGACGGGGTCCTCCTGGGGGGAGGGCTGGGCGACATGGCGACGGCTGCCTCCAGGGCAGGCAGGCCAGGCTGGCTCGGACTGCGGCTCAGCTAGCGACGGTCCTGACGCGACCTCGCCGCTCAACTGAGAGCAGGAGGTAGCGAAGAACGCCATCAGGTTGTAGTCCACGTTGCTGACGAGGGCGCGGGCGTTGGTGTCCTTCTTTTTCTGTGCATAGCCCATGCTCTTGGTGTACGGCCAACGCCTGATCCCGAGCTTTCTACACGCAGACTTCAAGCTCGTCAAGCAGATGCCGAGCTGCTCGGCGGCCTTGTCTTGCCGCAGATGGAAGAGACTCTGCAGCGTCTCGAAGTCGATGCGCACATCTTGACCAAGGGGCTGTGAGCAGGAGACCTTGGGGCGAGGGGAGATGGTCACTTGATCCTCCATCATCGCTTATCTATGCTGCCGCCGGCTTGTCCGACGAGATGAGGTTATGGGGGGAGAGATTGGATTGAGGTAGGGAGGGCGGCGCGAGGAGGAGGAGCGAAGGGGAAGGGAGGGAGGGGTAGCGATGGGGAGGGGAGAAGACAGAGGGTATACTGGGGAGCGAGGAAGGGGAGCGTGGGTCGGGAGGACGGAAGCGGGCTAGAAGTAGAGGGCAGGAGAGAGGATAGTGCATGGTACGGCACGGCACCGCATGGCATCACGAGGAACTCCCTTGATAACGTTGTTAAAATGCAACGTTTCATCAAAACACTTATGGCATGCTGACCACGATTAACTCCTCACAGGGCTGGAACATGACATCATGTCTCCTTGCTTGTCACAGACTCCAATTCAAATGTCACCCTTACAACTTGAAAGGTCCGTGCCACGAGGAATAAATTGTGCCAAGTTGGTCTCGGATTCCACGGACCGGGAGTCAGTGACTGGGCCGGCCGGACCGGGTCCTCAGGCCCGGTCACTGCCACGGACGGTACCGTGCCCCGGCACGGTGCCCGCCCCGGCACTGCGGCACCGTGCGGCCCGGGCCGCCCGGCCAGCCGCTGAGCGGCCTGAGACTGCCGCCCGGCCGGCAGCCGTGCAGGGGCCGGCGGCCGACGTCGCCCCGGCCCTGACTCCAGTGATACAACGGCGGCCCGTTCACACGTGACCGGCCCCCGTCACCCAGCGGCTCGGCGGCGGGCCGGCCGGGCCGGGCGCCAGGGCACTGCACTGCGGCGGCCCTGGCCGCGGCCCGCGGCCGGGCGGCGGGCCGCCCGCGGACGTGCCAGGACTTGACCCGGTTCGACCGGGCCGGGCCACGCGCCGCCGGGCCCCGGCGGCCGCGCGGTGCCACCCTGATCGGACCGTACTCGTGCGGTCACCCGGACTCGGACTCCAGTGGCCCGGGCGGCCCGGCGGCGGCGGCCCGAGCGCAATTGAACGGCGCCGGTTGCGGCCGGCAAATGGCCGTGCCGGTGACCAAGAAGCCCTACCGTAGTCACTGACTCACGACTAGCCACGGTAACCGTAAACATGTGGCTCAAGATTGTACACATCCCAACTGACAATTTGAAACGATGCAAAAACGAAACGTTCTTGGGGGAGTTCCTCGTGACGCCATGCCCACAGATCACCCATGCCGTGCACATCACGTTGCACAAGATCCCCCCGTTCTCTACTTCTAGCCCGCTTCCGTCCTCCCGACCCACGCTCCCCTTCCTCGCTCCCCAGTATACCCTCTGTCTTCTCCCCTCCCCATCGCTACCCCTCCCTCCCTTCCCCTTCGCTCCTCCTCCTCGCGCCGCCCTCCCTACCTCAATCCAATCTCTCCCCCCATAACCTCATCTCGTCGGACAAGCCGGCGGCAGCATAGATAAGCGATGATGGAGGATCAAGTGACCAT